TCTTAATGTACAAGATTGCTTCAGCTCTATTCATGCTCTTGATGTATTCCCGCTACCAAATGCATCTGCTCTTCTCAAGAAGATGATTCACACTCTCGGTGCAATTCTCGCTCCGTAAGTGTTGTTCACATTAAAATTCTTCAGGTTCAACTGATACTTTCTCTTCAAAATCTGGTTCCCTCATCTATCTTTTCGCCCTTCTTGATTATGGATGTTTTCTAGATCTCAACTGGATTCTGACTTGTATGGCTTTTTCAATCTCTGATAGCATGCAAAACCAATCTTTTTCAATCTCTGATTAAGTTATCCGATCTCATAAGAGGTTTCACAGGACATATAGAATGCAAATCTTCTGTTCACTCGATACTATTAGCAATTTCTTTCAATCCCATAATTACTATTTTTATTTATTACCATATATGGTATTGTTTATCCAAAGAATTTTGGATTGCAAACCTTGATAACAAGGGGTTCTAGAAAGTATTGTTATTCATTTTTTATAGTTAATAAGGAATCTTCTCGTACGAATTGTTGTGCTTGAACGTGCAATTGTTGTCATATGTCAAAACAAAATTTGGGGTTTGCCTGGTGTTTCAAATGTCATACAATCTCTTGGTTTTTTTTATAGTTTGTCTTTTTGAAAGTTAGATTATATGTACGCTTACTTTTGGTGCAGTTCGTGCATTTGCAGACATATAGCTTTCATTGGTATCGACTTGAACAACTGATTAAAACCATTGTACCAGGTTTGGAACCTCCATTTTATGGCTTTTGTTAGCTGATTTTATTGGGTTTTTTTTTTTGCAATTTCTTGTGATTTTTCGTTTCTGGTGTCAAAGAGGAAAACCAGGGGTAAGTTATGGATCAAGTAAGTAATGTTGAACATGAATCACTTTATCAACTATGCGATTTTTCTTGGTTCTTTGATTTTTTATTATAACATGAGTCACGTTTATAGGATAATATGTTGTTGGATTCACTGGATTGTATAGTTCCAGCATTCTCCTACAAAATTTTAATGGCTTCCTTGTGTTTGAACATTCAAATTGTTTTGGTTTGTTATTCAATTTGGAATGTGCTTGAGATTTTTAATTCAAGAGTCCGATGGTAGAGGTTCTAGGCCATGTCGTTTGTCTTAGGTTTATTGGTTGATTTGCAGGTTTAAAACCAGAAAAATAATTTCGAGGGAGATGGCAGTAAAGCAGATGTCTTTTTGATTTGCACTCTGATTTTAGAATCATGTTGCATCGTACTGGTATACATATAGAAGAGAGAATGCAGTTTTCCTAATAGGCTGAGAAGTCTTATCGATTGTCTTTGTAATATTTTGATCAATCACTAAATCATTTTAATCATATTCGTTCACCAAGATGCCAAATACAAATATTACATAAAATAAGTTCCTTTTTATACTTGAATAGTAAATATATTTGATTAGATCGGTTTAAGGTTTTAAACTGTAAAAAAAGTTATATATTTATCGGATGCAATTAGAACCATAACTCTTATTTAATCAAAATGTATTAATATGTAAAGCCTAAGGGGTTGTTTATTAAACGCCTACCTGGTATACGCTTGCAGGGTCATCTACCTTAACAGATGAACATGGAAAAAACCGAGAATCTTATCCGACAAAAGTGATGATAAAAATGGAGTCTTACGTGGTGAGGGAGAGTGATGACTCTTATTATCCGATAAGCGCTTACCGAGTAAATTGTTACATACGATATTGTTTTCATGAACTACAATCTTACCTGGTAAAATGAGTTGTAGTGTTAAATCTTACCGGTAAGCGCTTATTGAGTAAAAATTTGGGTAAATGTCCCCTAAATGTAAATATATCATCCTTAAAATAATAAAAACACCAAAGCTTCAAAATCATTTACATTTATTGTTTCTGTCGCATTACATAGATAAACAACTAGTCTATATAAAAGCAAAACTTGGGTTGCTTAGGTGGCACATTGAGAAGCCTTCATTCACCTTTTTTTTTCCTCATAATTTGGAATTTCTTTTAAATAAAAAGTTTTCGGTAAATGAGTTTTAACTTTTCATTTAACCTTTAGGGTGCGTTTGGTGCGCAGACAGGACAGGACAGGACGGGACAGGACAGGACAGGACAGCTGTTCAGCGTTTGGTAAGACAAGACAGGACAGAACTGGATTGGTTAAAATGACCGATTTACCCCTAACGTTATTTTGCTTCTATACTAAGTTAAAACATATGCAAAAACAATTTCCAAATTCACACAGCTGAGAAGACCAAATTCACACAAAGGTTTCAAATAAGAGATGAGAAGACCAAATTCACACAAAGGTTTCAAATAAGAGATGAGGTTTCAAATGTCCTGTCCCACCCTGTCCAGCGTACCAAACGCACCCTTAATCTTCATCATGACTATATATTATTTTTATTTACACAACATAAATACATCAACAAATATAATTTCTATTTGCCTTACATTTTTTTAATTAAATCAAACATTTTTATTTAATGAATTCAACAAGCCTTCATTCACCTATAAGTTATTTTTTGAGTATGATCAAACCAACGAGCAAGGGAATGATGGCGAGAATGAGGCTGAAGAGGTTCAATCGCATGGGAATGTTGCTGACCAGACATAAATGGCGAGTTTAAGTGAAGAAATTGCGACACAGTTGATGCAGAATGAATATTGATTCTAGTTGTTATAAGACTTTGTTTGTGTTTTCTATTGTGTGTTGAATCAATTAACGTATTTCAGTTGAATTTTTTAATGTGTTAAAAATATATGGTAGTTTACAAATAGTTTAAACGATTGAATATTTCAATTGAATTTAATTGAAATGAATTAATCCAAATTTCAGACTTCAGATGTTTGTCAGTTTACAAAAACAAAGAGTCTAATTGATTCAGCTTTCAGACTTCAAACTAAAAAAACGGATTCAGATTTCAGACTTCAGCACCACATCTTATTTATACTATATTATAAAGCATTTGACAAGAACTCTTAAAAAATATTTTTTATGTATAAAGTATTGTTTATTGATGCATATTACTTAAAATTCAAAATTACAAGTAGATTGTGCGTAACTACAACTTATTAAAGTTTTATGTTTGAATTTGTGTAACTAACTGTAGATAAACATAATTAAATATATGATAAACATATCATTTTAATCATAAAAAATCTAAAATTTAATTCAGATAATCATTGAGTTCTAACATAATACTTAATAATTATTTTTATAAAAAATTATATTATTATACCAAAAATGAATTAGTTTGTTATTAAACTTAAAAAATTATATTATTAAACTAAAAATTATATTATGTTATCTTTTCAAATTTATATTTTATTAAAAAAACATTATCGTTTTTTTAAAACCACATAAAATCGTATTTTGACATCAATAGAGATAAGAATAAACGAAACATTAAGATCAATATATATATCGCTACATTGTGTAAGTATTTTATAATATTTTGTATCACATCCTTTCACTTGCTTCACACATCCTATATAACGAGCCAAGTCCAGTATGACTTTTTTTGGTTTACAAGACATTTTGTTTTTCTTTCCCATTTGTTGACTTTTAACTCCCCTTTGAATTTAAAACCAATAATATTATTGTACATCATAATTTATGTTTGACGGGTTGAGTTATAAGGGTATAATGAGTCATGTCGAGTTGCAGGCTGTTTAAGCTCGGCTCAAAAAATATAATATTAAGCTCGAGTTCAAGCCCAAAAAAATTTAAAATAATGCTCGAGTTGAATATTTTCCAGTGTCTTAGCTTAAGCTTAATGATCGTTCAACAATTACGAGTTACATACTATTACTTAAACTTTAAAACTTTATAAGTTTGCTTATGACTCAAACTCGATATTGATAATCTTGTTTATTCGCTTAACCTCAATTAACTCATTTATTTCTTAGTGATAGTGACGACTTTTTTGAAATTTTATATTGTGATGGGATAATTTATGAGCATGCTCGTCTCCAAAAAAGTCTATGTCGATACGGCTCGGCTCGGCTCAACTCAAAATGACTCACAAAACTTATAGAGTTTTCAAACAACCATGTTACAGAACTCGACTCATTAAGTTAAACGAGTTAAATTCTGTATTTAAATTCAAGCTTAAAAATGACTGATGAGCCAAACATGAGTAATTCGTTAAATACTCGAATTATTAACACCCCTAGTACATTCACTTATTATCCCACCTGTATATATGATTTAATAAAATAATGTTTTGGTAAATTAAGAATTAAATAAAAGAAGAGAGAGAAAAAACAAATTCCAACCAAATTAATCGTCTTTATTGATTAATTATCATTTCTACGGAAAATATACACGTCAAGATCCCATTCGATAACGATTTTGTTTTTGTGTACGAATTAATATGTTAAATATATGGGGTTGTTTGAGATATCGATTATTTATTCGATAAAAATATTTAAATCATTGACCTATATTTAAAAATATGTGATCGTTATTTTGTTTGGGTATATGTGATTAATGTGTTGATTGGTTGTTTTAACGTTCTTCCTCTTCCACACGAATAATTTTTCGCTTCAACGAAAATATAATGTTGACTTAAAATCATATAATAAATTGCATAAGTAACATCATATTTATTTTAAGANAATGAATTACTTCATTATTAAATTTAAAAATTATATTATCAAACAAAAAATTATATTATGTTATTTTTTTAAAAATTTATGATATTTTTAAATTTATATTTTATTCAAAAATAAAAAACATTATTATCTTAAGAATACGTTAACAACTATATATGTCTCACTGCGAACACCTTTTCTTCAAAAGTGAAATCAAACTTAAATGCGTTTGGTTTACAAAAATGAAATAAAATTTAAAAATTTAAAAAATTTAAATTTAAAATAAATTTCAATCCTGTTTGGTTTGTAGAAAAATCCTAGGATTAAAATCTCGTGAACTATGGATTTAACAATCTTTGAAAATACACGGGTTTTTAACAATCCATTCCCGTGGGATTTCTTTTTTGCCCTAACCCATCTCCATCTTTTCCCACAGCTTACCATCGCTCCTCCATTGCTCATCATTACCGATCATCGTCTCCGTCGCCGTCTCCTACGGTGATCGTCGCTCACCGTCTCCGTCGCCCACCGTCTCCGTCGTTGTCTCCCACTGTGGTCGTCGTTGATAAACCCTTCCTCTTCTCCCAGCTCACCCGCCGATAAGCCCTTCTTCCTCTTCGCCGCCTTCTCCCATCACTCAACAGGTAAATCCCTTTTCCCCTTTTGTAGTATTTTATTGATTTATTTACATCTTCCTGTACTCGAGTTACCTTGTAAATGCATTTTACGTACAAAGTTCTATTATGTAGAAGGGAAGGAAATAATCTCTTGAGTTAAATCAAGACATCATTTGTTTAGATATCCTGAACACATTTCATGCTTATCACTATGAGTCAGGACCCATAAACTATAAATTCTATATGTGTAGTGCTTGCTGCATAGATTAACCAAAAGTATGTGTATTACATCATACCAAGAGTTTGATATTAGCAAATCCATCACGATCCGCAAGGCTTCTAGCAAGGTCAATTGCTCCTTCACTATAGTCTGTTCCGGTTAGATCAGAGAACCTATATTCGTTAACATCAACAGTTAGGCTCTATAAACTTGAACAGTATACATGAACAAGACTAAGATTAGCATACCATGAGGAAGAGTGAGCATAATAGACATACAAAGCAGTTAAGTAAGTGCAAGCATGCACATTGCAGGACTACAAGCATGCTGAATGTTTATATGAGCTATATGTTCCAAGAAAAATGCAAATCAAACACAAAATAGCATGTAATTAGCAAAGTACTTGTTTTATATTATTTCTATCTGCTATAGCCATACATCTTGAGAAATATGTTAGACAAAGATAGAGAAAGAAATATCATATTTATAAATTCTTATGTTCATTACAACATGTGCATATAAAATCCCCAATGAATTATCCTTCAAATGTGGACCGATGTATGATGCTTATGTATAAAAAAAGATTGGCATCTGTTTACCTACTCTTTTCCTTGGTGTGCTTATGTATGATGCATATTTTCTTTACCTACTCTTTTCCTTGGTGTGCTTATGTGTGATGCTTATGTATAAAAAAAAGATTGGCATCTGTTTACCAACTCTTTTCCTTGGTGTGCTTATGTATGATGCATATTTTCTTTACCTACTCTTTTCCTTGGTGTGCTTATATATGATGCTTATGTATAAAAAAAAGATTGGCATCTGTTTACCTACTCTTTTCCTTGGTGTGCTTATGTATGATGCTTATGAAGAACTTGATATATAAGTGCAAAACATTCAAAAACGTTACCCATCACTTGTTCCATACATCCATGATCTTGCTCTCTTCTTTCTTAATGTGGTTAATAGAAGGCTAAATGAAATATAATTGCTGGCAGCCACTGAGGTTGGCAATCCACTGAATTTTGGATGTTATTAGGTGCTGCTTTGATTGTTTGTCATTTCTTGGATCGCCATGTTATGAAGTATTCTTTTTGTTTAAATCAGTTCTTTTATACGATGCTATGAAATTTTATTGATGAATTATGCTTTATCTTTATGTAATTGCGATTTAGGGGTATACGCCACCCATTGACCGCCTCCACTGCAGTGGTCCCACGACCCTCATTGGGGAGGAAAATCACTGCAAGTCAGCAGGTGGTGGTGCCCGGGTTTGAACCTGGGACCTCCTTTCCAGATGTCCACCATGTTACTGCTGAGGAAAATCTTTGCGATTGATGTATTGGTTATTCATGAAATTCAAGATTTTTTGATTTGCACAAAAAAGATAGTTAACACCTAACGCCTCAACCTGACATGCTTGACTCATTCACCATTTGGCCCATTACTATTTTGACCCATTATCCATTCTATCTTACCCTATATTTTACCTGATTTAGGTAAATTTTCGACTGATACTGGGTAGATGGGTGTGGCATGTTTACGGTAGCCATAGTACCCAGGTGAATGCACCAGGGGAGGTTTTTAACCAGAGGGAAAAAAACTAGTTGGTAGAAAGGCTTTATGTGCATGTGTTTTTTAGCGCAAATCCTGCATCTCTCTTCCTAGAAATTTCTTACATCTGGTTATGTTATCACAGATGTATGTATGGATATGTGCATGTATATTGAGGGAATCATTTTGCGAGAAATTCTTCATTTTGCTTGAACTTCAAACTGTAAAATTGGTAAAGCTTGTTCTTGATGTTGAAATGAATAAGATGTGTAACATTTGGCTGATTTTGGATAGAGCCTTATTTTCAGGGATGTTGTATTTGTAATTGTAATTGATCTTAAAGTGGATTTAGATAAGTGGTGCACTTTCTCTTTGATCCAAATTGGTATTTCGAGGCAAAAAGAGGCAAGTACAGGAATAAAAAATGTTCTGTCCAGGAACAGGACATGTATCTGGGATAGATGATAGATCAGCAAGAAATGGTGTGTGCTTATTTTAGGAGATATAAAGAGAGAATGGGGGGATTACGTACATGATATAGCTCGAGATACTACAGTGGAACCTGCTCTATGGGAGGATTCATTAGCTGCTTTTTAATCTTTTCAGTATGCTATAGGTTACACCCACACACGCACACACATATGTGTGTGTGTGTGTCTGGAGGTTCAAACGAGAATAGATCTCAACTGTAAGATAAGATGATCCAATTGTGATTAAGAAGGTGGTTACAACTTACAACCACTTTTTGGTTAAACAAAACAAAGAACCCTATTTTTTAATTGAAATACAATCAAAATTGGAGCCAAACAAATTATAACAAAAAATGAGCATTTTATTCTCTTGAACCCGCTCCTATATATATAATCCATCACGAGAGATGATAAAGTCTCCTACCGTTGTAGTCATAAGTTTTTCAAACCTTAAAAGTTAAAAGTAGCTTGGCAGAAATAATAGATGTTGCCTACTGTTTCAGTTTTCAATTATTATGAATTATTTTCTTCAGCAACGCCTTGTGCAATATGCAAGGTACTTCTGGTAGTTGTTTTTGTTGCTTTGTTCATGTTGTTTGGTATTACTTGTTTCTTTTTATGATTATGTGAAGTTAATGTTCCGAATATTTACTTTGTGCAGTGATTTCTATTTTGATTAAGACTCCGAAATGCATCCTCCATTGACGTTACATAGGCATCCGATGTGTGCTGAAGTGAGTTAAAAAAACTTGTTTGCCTTTTTCTTCTATGTTAGACAATAATGTAACCATGAAATGCCTTTACGCATATATTGAGATTTTATGCAAAAAATAATTCTCTTATTAGGACTACATTTTAGGTAAGTCATATCTGATTAGCAAATGAGATTTGGGATCATGTGAGACAAGGTTGTTTTCGTGGGACATGTGAGACAACATTTTTACACTTGAAACTTCCCAGCAAAACACTGTGAAGGTAAGTAACCTTCACAGTGTTTTTGTTGTGAAGGTTCGGATTTTTTTTACCTTCACAACATTTCGTTGTGAAGTTTCAAGTGCAAAAATGTTGTCTCATGAAAACAGGCTGGTCTCACGTGAACCAACCTTAGCAAACGATTTTGTTCTACCCACTGTCTTAGATAAGGGTCTTGGGGATAGGTTATAGAGCCAGCAGGTAGGTTCGTGTACATTCTACCCTCCAGACCTTTCTTCTGAGTGGGATATAGTATGTAGGTTTGGTTTTAGATATGATTCATCTCCAAAGCGATGTTAAGGCAGTTGCAGTGTTATGGAGTTTTAGGTTCAAGTGCGATAGGAAGGAACCTGCTGCTTGCATATAATTATCTGAAAGTGTTAGTGGTCTTGTATGTCTACTGAATGAAGTTCTTAAGAGGTGTAAATTTAGTAAGTGACCTCAAATATAAAATGATGAAGAATAGAGAAGTACGAGGAAAAAATATCAACATGTTCCTTAAAAATCTTTAGCCGGATTTGTTGAACACATGTTATGTCCTGATGAAAAGAAAACTATTAAAATACAGGAAGAATGATAAGTTACAATAGAGGAAGTTCATAGCCGCCATTATCATGAACCTACTTAAAAAGCATCTCATAACCAAGATTATCATCTCTCTGTCATAACTAGACTAACATGAAAATAGATCAACTCTTATCTAAAAATCCTTGATGACAAGTTGCATCTTACAAGAACACTTGGTGGTCCGTACTTTCTGAGAGGCAGGTCGCTTGACCGGTCATTGCAACAACAGGAAAGAACACCAACTTGAGCTGTCCTTAAAGTACTGAGAATAAAAATGCTATACATAAGTGATGGTGCCTTAAGCATGACCATGATATCTACCAATTTACTCACCATGAGTATGTTTGGGGAGTGTCCGAGGACTTGTTGTCAGATATGGTCACTTGAGAAGCTTTTTATTAACTCCGCTGAATCTGGAGTAGAATTTACGATGTTGAGCTCTGACTCTTTTTTTCTATTTCTTGATTGAGTTTACTCTTGTGCATGGCCTTGTGTTTTTTACACTGCTGTTGAGAAAATAATGTACTTAACAGATACATTAGATCGTTCTTGCAGGAGTAGCTCGGCTCTGTTAACAGACTAACCTTTATGTGGATAAGAGGTGCTTCCAGTACCAAAGCTGAAAGCTCTTTGAGTTACAAACCCGCAACTTTTTACTGCATCTGTGATGCTTATGTAAATAATAAATAGCAATAGTCTTTATCCACCAAGTCATATGTCATTTTCCAGTCTTTGCCACACAATAAAAACAATAATTGGGTAGCTCTCAGTTCACATGCCCTAATGCTTTTTTTATTAACCTGGATATCCAACCCGCTATGCGAACTGACTAATCCCAGGGTGACCACCTGCTTTGCAAATAGCTCGGACTCACCGTATTTGAACCTCCATGGCCACAAGGGGATTTTTATTCCTCCTTGGATTTGAACCTGAGACCTCCTGGTAATTTTGACCTTTGGAGCCAAGCTCAAACTAATCAGGCACCACCCTTGTGGTTCATACTCTAATGTTAATGCTCAAGATAACTCTGTATTTCTTTTCTAGTAACCTGTTTAGGATAATATGGCTTATATGGTTATAGCTTTGTTCATATTATTCAACTCCTGAAACTAAGCACCATTGATCTTCTGTCTGGTGTAGATAATCGAACAGTTTCAGAAATGCCATCTGGACCATCCTTATGCAAAATTCTTTGGAGAGTGCACAGATCTCAAGATAAAGCTCGACAAGTGTTTCCGACAGGAAGTAAGACAACAACTGGGTGTTATCTTATTTATTCTTTTTCTTGCCTTATAAAATATTTGAATCATCTTTCTTCAACTGGCAGAAAGCTGTGAAGCGGAAGGCAAATTTTGAAGAGAGTAAGAAACTGAAAGAGAGGCTACAAGCTTATCGGAAAGAAGCTGCTGAGAGTGAGAATGTGATGTAAACGAGAATATTCATTCAATAATGTCGAGTTAAGGTTCAATGTAAGACAGAAAAATCGTGCTTATTGCAAATCATATATATACACATATACGCTAGATTGTAGCTTGTGTTCAGTTGATTTTGTATTCAATTTGTTTTAACAACATTGCATACACACAAGAAATAAAATTCATCTGCTTCATTACAACATGTTAATGATGCTTGTTGGTTGTGTATTAGCTGAAAAAAAGGGTCTGAATCTTGAGATACTCTACTACAGGTTACAACACAACACAAGGGACTTGTTAGTTGTTTGTAGGATTGGTCAGGAAATTAGTTATGGACCAGTTTCAATTTTCAAAGTGGATTTTTCTTACTAATTTGAATCTGTCACGTGGCAATCTCTTATTGGCCGACGGTCTATCAGTTGGGATTGCCCCCATTTGACCTTTTTTTTGTTTTTATTTACCAAGTCGCTATCAAACTATTTTACCAAACTGTCAAAAAAAGAGTGAAAAACTAGTGTCAGGTGGACCAGACCCAAAGGACTACTGGGTTAAGGTACGACTAGTTATGGAGATACTGGCTCCATTTGGTTTGGTTTTGTTTTTATGAATCTTGAGATTGCTCTCGAAAAATTGCACCTTGCTTGAACTGTACATGTGAGGCATGAACAAACAGTAAAGAGTTGAACACATGCTGCCATTTATTTGGGTCAATGTAATTTATCAGCAAATGCTATTTCATCCTCATATAGTAGAAGATATGTTAAGCAAAAACCATTAGAACAAAATCCCAGAGTTCAAACATAGAGAGACCAGTCTTACCATTTGTTAGATATAAACACCCACCCTTGTCCCCAAACATCTGGTCCCCTTAATTCCTTATAATATAGTTAACCATTAACGGGCGTCCAATCACAAGTTTCAATCGAACCCTTTAAACATTAATTAGTTTCTAGGAAAAGCACGCCAGAGCACAGCATTTAACGGTTTAGCTTTTTCTTCACTTTGACTTGTCTTGAAAATCTTAGATTCTGATGCAGCTCGGGTTTGGCTCCAGTTCTTAAGCACCGACAATGAGACGGGCCCTACCTTTTCGCCACGTGGGCTTGTAACATACCATTGAGAGCTTTCAGTGTCTTGAAGCTCCTCCTTGCTTATATCAATATCATCACTAGATTCAAACAATTGTGTTGGATTTTTGACAACAGATGGTTTCTTTGAGTTGTCTTGCCACTCCATGGAACCAAAAAACTTCTGCAGTTTCATTGCCATTGCATATTTTTCAGATGCAGGTACTTCATGTTTGCTCTCTTCTGCAACAAATAAATTGTACATCAATAATATGCTTTGCTTGTACAACCAAACCAACACAATATATCTCACACAGATTGAGGTAATGTAGGCAGGCCTTACTAACACCACCGTCTTTCTAATGTAGAACTTTGGTACCCTAAATGCCACAGGTCCCCCCCCCCCCTCCTTTGCCTACCTTCTATCTACTCCAAATAAGCAAACCAATGTTTTATAGACGAAATGTAAACAAGATTACTTAGTAGCATGTAGTATTATGCAAAAAGAATGCTTACTATACAGAGCATTTTTCTCTAAAATATAGGAAATGCCAAAGGCTGCAACAAAGTTCGTCTTAGTTCCTACTTACTGTGACGATAATTTTTTTATCAGTTAGTGCAAGAAACATCCAATTCTTCTTATTTCATACCCATTAAACCGATAATCTGTAGACATTGTAACTATTAATGATGTTGATGTCGATTTGTCAAGTTATATTGCAATCATTGATTACATATAATAATGTCATATCAAAATCAACCTCTGCCACGTTATATACAAAACCTGTTTATCAGGTTAAATGGGCATAATATAGGCAGAATTGAACGTTTGTCATACTAATTGGGGAAAAATTCATCATTACACTAAATAAGAACCAACGCAAACTCTTATTTTGATGCATTTTTCCTTATTGGAAAAGATAGAGGCAAAGTATTTATCGTACCTGAAGCAATCCCATTGTCTTTAAAATTTCCAGACGACGTATGTGTTAGACCAGATTTTGGTGAGTCTTTCTTGTCATCTTCAACAGGTCCAGCTTCATCAATGTCTGGAACCACAGTAGGGACCTTTTCTAGTAACTTTGTCTGGTTTGTCGGATTCTGTAGGAATTGCCTTCTTTCCAAATACTCAAATAGCGTAAAATAGACACATAGGTTAAGGACCACATTACCATTAGCTTCTTACACATATGTTCAAAAACAAGGCCTTTGAATAAAGATCATTAAATACATGGGTTGCTATTAATTAGATCTACAACCCACTAGAGATAAAAAAATATCATAGGCCAAGGAGTTTCATAATACACATCATCCATGCATGGATCATTCATAAAAGAAAATGTGACACAACTACTAAAAAGGATATTCTTTTCTCCATCCTTTTTCATTCGCTTGATCAATACGGTGTTTCAATAAAGCCAGCTCTCGGGGAATCCACTGATATAACCAAAAATGCAAGCAGCATTAGATGTTCAAGCGATGCATTAACCAACTAAGAAACTTTAAGAGGTAAACAATAAAGAGAACCATGTATGAAATTCTTGAATTGCCTGATCATAAGCCATCTTTTAGTAAACAAGAAAAAACCTCAGTTCACTAAATGACAAATTTCCTGATCATATATATATATATATATATATATATATATATTCTGACACAATGATTGCAAGACTCTTAACGATGTGTTATACAACTTACATGTGTTACAATGTCCTTGTGCAGACTCTTAGCTTTCTCTTCAACTCCAACCTGTCATACAAGTCAATTTGGTCGATATTCTTATTCTGTATGTATGCATTTGTTGAGAACAGTTCACTTGTAGTAAAAACGACATCTCCTAAATAGAAAAACCATAATGGGTTTATGCTTTAAATATGTTAAGAAGTCGAGCCCAAATAAGACCATATGATTGTGTGGTTGTCTTGATGTCATTCAATGTAATCACGGTGTCCACAAACAATTTTTAACCTTCTATTTTGAGAACATCTTCAAGTTCATGGAACTAAGACTTAAAAGAACTCAAAGAAACTAAATATGCTTTAATGACAGGAAATTTTATCAAGTGTCTTAGGCAAGTAGATCTCTATAAAGATTCGTATGTATGAAAGTATTTAGTTATATATTTCCTTACTTTTTGTTTTACTATTATTTTATTGGCAATACTTATCTCGGATTGCATTTCCTACTTTTATTAAGCCTAAACCAAACAAACCTAGTAGATCCCACCCGGAGGTAGGGTAAAGATGTATGCAGAATTGCAGACCTTTCCTCTGTCTCCCGAATCACAGAGGTTGTTTCGGAGAAGATCTCCGTGAGTATCCCAACGCTTATTATAGAGTATTATTGGTTTGTGTGTAAGCTTGACTTTTATGGACAATTCTTTGCAAGTGTGCCTTTCTTTTATCTTTGAACACCTAAATTACCTCTCTTGTACTACATATACTCATTTAGTTATTACATCTAAAAGGTAATTATTTATCATGATGAGTTACTCCATGGTGACAGATAAAGAAAGACGATCACAAGTAAATGACCTATGAAAGGTTGATTGTGGATAACGATATAAAGCACATAAGCAATATTGTAAAGGTTGCTGTAATAAATGCACAAGCTTACCAATGTAAGCTTTTTAAGTATGCCAGATTTCACTTTCTTTTTCAAATCTTCACATTCTTCCTGAAATTAAAAAGGTTCAGAAACAGTTAAGTTTTACAAAGGAAATGGAATAAAGTTCATACCCAATAGCATCTACAGTGAATCTTCATCAAGCATTATTGTCAATAAAAGAAACACGTTAGAATAAAATAATTTGTGAATCGCTAAAACACGTCCTCCGATAGTGTCCTCATATAAATCACATCTACGAAGGAACCATCAAAAAAAACATTTTCTTGAAGCTGTGATATCTAACACCTCTTGGTCCAGTTCACGGGGTTCAACCAAACATCCCCTCCACATGACTTGGGCAATTTTACGCCTTCTGGCCAATAGACATGGTCCACAAAGGAACTAATAGCACCTAGCAGAAATCAACCAGAATAACTCTCTTTATTACTGGTTATGTCGCCATATCTTTCAATCTCCAATTTCCAGAGTCGTTGAGCTCTCAAGTGATAGTTATATCTAATCGCGATCAATGTGACACTGGCATATTGACAATAGACCTATAACATCGGACTCCAATTTGGCTATAGTGTATGAACAATGGGCAATCACAATTCAATCCCAATTTGCTAAGGTGTTAGGGGGTTCTAAGTTAATTATGTAGAAATAATCTACCCAATCCACAATATGATGAAATTTGAGAAATAGACGATATTGGTCTATGTGAAGCTCTATCTACTATAGTTTGAGCTTTAAGAGGAGCTTAAGTAATGTGGTTTAACTTTTAGAGGTCATTCACTTAGATATATAGATTAGTACAACAAACAGTAGTTCCCACTTCTTCAATTTGATAAATCAGTTCTTCATCCAAATATCCAATTAAAGAAGCACAAGTATTTCTAAATTCTGGTCTATCCATCATAGTTGCAGATTCGTTTGTCAAGTTATTTTTATGTATTTGTATAACCAGACCAGACCAGACCAAACCTACCCAGTAGGGTATACCCCACCAGAAAGTAGGGTCTGGGAGGGGTAGGATGTACGTAGACCTTTCCTCTACCGAAAAAGGGCAGAGGCTGTTTCATTTTTATATATTTGTATGCATGTGTTTGCTTGATGAGAAAGAATAAATAAAGCATGATGTGCTATGATTACGAGTGTTGATATCTTCATTACATTTACAAATTTTCATTTCCTTAATAAAACGAGGCAACCTTTTGGTAACTTATCTTGTGAATGACTGTATTAACTCAAATGTTGAAAAATTAATGCCTATTTGACAGTAAATTCAGATAACCATCGACCTTTATATATAATGCCAGAGAAGTAACAATAATTTGCAATATCTTTAAGGTTTAATGGCAGTTGAGGAAGATGAGTTGGTCCACAACTATTGAGCAGGTGCTATATATGTATATATATAATTATATATAACATAATATAAAAAGAATTAGGTGGTGAACTGATGTACGCCCTTACCTCAGAGAACTCATCATCTGACAGCAAAGTGATGGAGATATCTGTTTCTAATGCTTGCAGCACAAAGGTTTGGCCATTTTCACCACCCAAGCATTTTTTTATGCCTGATAAATCATTTTAGAAAAGATAATTAATTCATCACACATTATACCAGAAGGGTGTAAAAATGAATGACCTCCTGAAAAGTACACTACCAGTACATAAGGATATGAAGTAACCCCGGACAGTAAGAACCAAAAAGTTGATAATTGAAAGCCTTTAGTTAGCATAAACTATGGTCGTTCCTGAACATGGTCAATGGAGAAAGTGTAATACGAAATTCACTAGCACTTGTATGATTTATATCAGCATACTTTCACATGTAAGTGTGAGGAAAGAGCAAGGGCTGTTTGTTTATGGCTTAATGGTGGCTTATTCACTCAGCCATCAGAGTGTTTCATTTACAACTTAATGGTTAAATGGTTAAACTCTTCAGCTACTTTGGCTTCATGAGCTCAGCCTTCACCATTTACTTTTTCCAACCATATCCTTCCTCCCAAGAAACAACCCGTCCCGGAAAACAAACTTTTCCTATAAATTTGAGGGGTTCACTACTCGCGCTTATCTTCTTCTTTAAATCACTCTTAGATCTACTTGACACTTGAACTCATCATATTTCAAAATCTTTAAGTAATTTGTCAGTCGTTTTAGTTGTATTTCGCGAGGGGAAAATGTTCCCATTCGAACAAGAAACCTTGCAAAATACAACCAAAACGATGTACGGATTACTTCAAGATTTTGAAATACAATGAGTTCGAGTGTGTTGCAGAAATAAGAGAGATTTAAAGAAAAACATAAGATCGAGTAGCGAACCCTTAAATTTCTAGGACATGTTTGTTTTCCAGGAAGGGTATGGATGGAAAAAAATTAAAGAGTAAAGTGTTTGAGCGAACAAGCGAAAAGATAGTAGCTCAACTCATAAAGCCAAACTTGTCGAGAGCTTAACGATTAAGCTGTAAACAAACAATTTGATATGGCTGAGCGAATAAGTCCAAGGTATTAAGCCCATTAAGCCATAAGCAAACAACCCCTTAATAGTTAACCCATACAGGACTTGATGAAAAAACAACCAAACAGCCCCTAAATTTATAGAGAAGATACTTTGTGAGTTGAGAGACTAATCACACAATCCCACAAAAACAATAACTTCATTTCATGAACAAATTTCCTATACAAACCATTCCCTTGTGTGTGTTTTTCTTTTTAACGAACCAGAAATGTTGACATCATATTTGTTGATGGAATTTTTTAATGGGGTGCTCCTTAGTTGCGTTGGTGAATATAATTTCTATATCAAAACAATATAAATATTGTAGCCAAGTCATGGCCCAAAAAAAGAGGACGAACCTGTTACTTGCACAAGCTGATAACTCTTTGAAAAGCAGCCACTTACATCTTCTTTAACTCTCACAAAACTTCCAATTACCTTACTCTCGAAAGTCTCAGGTTCTTGTTCTAATTTCTGCACTAAACTCCTTCTCAAGTATACAAGCCTGATGTTTTCAGGAACGATCGATGCAAAATGGAAGTTTGCAACATCAAGCACGGCCTCTTTCTTCTCTGATATTTTATCGCCGCTGTTCTTTTTCTTCCTCTTATTGACCACCAAGTCCTCATCGTCTTGATCCATGTCCTCTGAATCATATCCTAGTTCATCTTCATCTGATGACACTTGATTCTCCGCCAAATGAGATTCCAAAAGGTCATATATTCTGTTAAGCTTCACCGTTTTTCGCCCAAAAATAGACTGTAACCATGCGTCACACTCAACCATCTTGTTCTTCTGAATAAGGTTTTTCTCCTTACTATATCCCTTTATGATCTTTTCCAGTTCCCGTTGAGATAACGCATGAACTGTCTCTTTCCCTATATTTGTAAGAAATTGCATGAGACGTGTTGACCCCCAGTCGGTGAACTCTTTCTTTTTTGATTTCGGTGTGCTTTTTGTCTTGCCTTTTGCCTTGCCTTTTGCCTTGCCTTTCGTCTTGTCTGTCTTCTCAGATGGCTCTGGCTTGGATCTTTTTATTTTCTTTCCCGAATCATGTGGTTCCATGTCATCATCTTTTTCTTCATAATCTGAACATTGGTACTCATCACTATCATCATACTTATCTGAATCGTAATTCTTTCCCGACTTCAATTGAGCCTTGGCAGATGTTAGATCCTCAAGAGTCAACTTTTCCGTAGCATTAATAATCTCCCAGTATTCCTTATACAGAGTCTCATAAGTGTTCCGATTGTTGAAATCAACCATTTCCTGCAAAAACAGACAGTCAAATATTTTATGGTGAATCCATATAATAACTTAGTGTCTTCAAAGTGTACGTCAATTGCAAACAAAACAATGAACCCTAGCCGTGTTAAACCAGTAAAAGGGTGACCATGGTGCACCAAAGATCCTCAGCATGGATACAAGGGTTGTTTGACTTGTATTTGTGACTCGAACCTATGACCATTAGGTCCAAAAGGAGTAACATTCTCTTGACCTTCCACTGACCACATATCAGTGATATTATCACGTAAAAATAGGTTATGAAAAACCCAGTAATTTTCAGTCTTTTTTTAGGCCAAATCGTACCCCATCAGAGTCAACATCCTTCTTTTCTTCCACGAGCAACGTGAGCTTCAAGCAGTGTTCACAGAATCCTTTCTTCCCTTTTACATGAACAAAGTCCGCAGACTTGATACAGCGTCTGCATACACCTTTTGGACAGCAATAACATTGGACAACATCAGAAGTCCTACTGCAAGTCTCGCATCTATGCAGATCTGGGAACAAAACAAAATGAAATTATACGTAATTTAGGAAATAGAACCTATAAAAACTATCCTCTAAAAAGGTATTAAAGTAACGCAAGTTCAACATAACATTGTAGAACATAAGCAAAACAGGACAATCTTTATTCTTTAGGCATGCAATGAATATATCAAGCACTCATTTGTGCCATAGCCCATACGCGTTAATAACAAAACGAAACCAATATATCCCACACAAAGGTAGGGCCCGGGGGTTAGGATCTACACATACCCTGCCTCTACCCCAAAGAGTAGAGAGATATGTGTTGATCTATTCTATAAGCCTAACCATAACGGAATTTGATACAAGCGGCTTACCACATATAAACCGGTTTTTAGCTTTGGCAGATGAATCATCCAGTTCTACACATTCAGGATGATATGATTTGAAACAATCCCTGCATATTTTCACAATGATTCAGAACAAGATATGATCAGAGCTAAAAGGGAAAAAAGTTTCTGCCATGGAGATGTATGATATCTTGCAAACTTGACTGAAGCTAAATGGTTGATCAGTATAACCACTCTCCTATTTACCAACAAACTGGAGGATACAGTCAAACAAAGGCTAGAATAACCTTTTCACCATTAAATACATTTTCCTTTCTTTATTCAAAAGATCAAACATGATCATACCATCAAAGCAAGCACATAATCATGGAAAAAACAAATCCCAAAAATGGAACGACGATGGTGAATTTAATGAAAGATGAAACAACTGATTTGGAGACTCCATGCATCAGACTTTGAATTCTATATCCAACCTAAAAGACCGATATACCCCTTGAGTCAAGAAAACATGCATTCAACCTAAAAGATACGGAAACCTGTCAAATCATCAATGAGAACAGGGCACCCATTTTATTTTTATTTTATTTTCTTGAACTTTAATGTATTAAAAGAAGAAGAAAAAAGGGGTGTTGGGAAACTCACTTTTGATCACAGATAATCAACTCGCCACCATCTTTGCAGACGAAGCACCATTCTTCAGAATAATCTTCTTTTTTCCAAGCTGTTCTTGCTCTCTTTTTCATCCCTCCGATCAACGCCAATGTAAAAGAAACCCTTTTTCTCTGTCCTTAAAAACGCAACTCCAACACCTGTGCTGTGAAAGACGATCACGTTATTTGAAGAAAATGCATAAGAAGAATCAAGCAGAAAAAAAGCAAGTTGAGGGTATTTACTGATGATCAAACAAAACACCAGTCAATGTAACGGAAGACCTCCTGCATAAAAGTTCTGCTGAAAAGCAAGAGAGAGAGAGAGAGAGAGTTGGGGATGAGTGGGTTTTAGAGACTAGGGTTCTAAAATATTAACGTGATTTGTTTTACAAAAGTATGCCAATTTTCATGGTTTAATTTAGTAAATTTTGATCATCCTAAAAACTAATCCCTTTTTAGTTATGATTATCAAGATTTTTGCTTTTTTATTTTCTTTTAATAAATAATAGATTATTGCTATTATTTTTTTATTAGTAAAATATATTGTATTATTAAAACTAAAAGGTATTCGCACAATGCAGCGAGATACATCTCGATTTTAATGTTTCGTTTTGTTTTTTTCTTTGTCTCAATCGATGTTATAATACGGTTTTATGTGGTTTTGAAAAAACAAGAATGTTTTTATTTTTGAATAAAATATAAATATGAATATATCATAAAAAAATCTTCTTTTTTGTGTAATTTTTTAATTATAATTTAATAATGAAATAATTTATTTCGGTTTAATGATATAATTTTTTTATAAAAATAATAATTAAGTATTTTCTTAAATGTTAATAATTATTCTAATTATATTTTTTATTTTTATATTTAGAATGAAATGTTTTTCTTTTATTTGATTACGTTTATTTATAGTTAGTTACACGATTTCAAATAAGAAGATTTAGTAAGTTATACTTATAATTTACTTGTAATCTTAAATTTTAAGTAATATGCATCGATAAACTGTATTTCATACATATAAAATGGTTTTAAGAGTTTTTGTCAAATTCTTTATAATATAGTATAGATAATTTTGCTTAATTGTTATTAAAACTCAACACTTAGTAAAGAAAATTACTTTTATCAAATACTACAAATTTGATTATTTAATTTTTAAAACTACATAATAATATAAACAATTAACAATAAATTAAACGGTTTATAATATTTTTTAATAAATAAAGATATTAATATATAATTATAAGTCATAATTCTATAAAACTCCCACCATTGTAAAGTTTCACTCCCCCTCCCCCAAAATAATCTTTTTAATAGTTAACTAATGGTAAATAATATCATTAAATTTGTTCATTAAAAGTTACTAGAAGGGTACTCGTACAATGCAGCGAGATAAATCTTCATTTTAATATTTAGTTCTAATTTTTTTGTCTCTATCGATATAATACGATTTTATGTGATTTTGAGAAAGCCATAATATTCTTATTTTTTAATGAAATATAAATTTGAAGATATCATAAAAATTCGAAAAAAAATGAATAAATTGATATTAATATCAAATTAACTATTTAATAGTTCTCGTTTTTTTTGTGTAACTTTTTTAATTCAATTTTTTTACTATAATTTAATTTGGAACTAATATCAAAGTAATTTATTTTTGATTTAATAAAATATTTTTTTATAAAGATAATAATTAAACATTCTGTTAGAACTCAATGATTATCTTAATTATATTTTTTATTTTTTATATTTAAAATGGATGTTTATTCTGTATTTGATTGTGTTTATCTGCAGTTAGTTACACGAATTTAAAAATAAAGCTTTAATAAGTTGTACTTACACAAAACTACTTGTAATTTTGAATTTTAAGTAATATGCATCAATAAACAGTACTTAATGCATAAAAAATGGTTTTTAAGAGTTTTTGTTGAATACTTTATAATATAGTATAAATATATTTTTATCAATATATAAAGTTGTTTTTAAAATTTAAATAGTAAACAAATTAGAATTATCATTTACTTTGCTTTGAAATTTAATATTTATTAACTAAAAAAATATCATTTTAATTTCAACGATACTTCATTAAACAATTATTTTTAAATTAAATGATAATTATTTATTGATTATAAAAAATAAATGTAGAATATAATTATTATGATTTAATAAAATGGTATAAAATAAATAAATATATTATCTTTTATTATTATAATAGTAAATATGTTTTTTAATATTATTTTTTTAGTATATGGTTGTAGTGGATTTTTTTAATGTTCAATAGACTTACCATTTTTAGTGATTTAATGTTTTATTTTTAATGATTGAGTTTATAAGAACCTATTTTTTTATATTTTTCATGTCATATTATTTCTAACTCATAAGGTAGGAGGTACAAATAACAACCATTTTTAGTTGTAATTTCAATATTTTTTTATTTATTGTTTTATTTTTCACATATATACCATCATTATATTTGGTTTAATTTGGGGAATCTAACTGGACCCCCCAAGTCCTTATATAATAATATTTTTTTTGTCTTTTTATTGTTTGTGTCTTTTGGCTTTTTCTGATTTAATATATATATATATATATATATATAATTGATTTTAATTAAAAAAAATTGTAATTTCTCTTTTATTTATTTATATTATATTATAATTAATATGAATTATTAATAAATATATATTTTCTTTTATATCATTTATATTATATTAATTATTAATAAACATTTCATCCGTTTAGATTTTTTTGTTTATTTTTACTTTTTAACTTTTATTTAAAAATAAATAATTATTTATTAATATAAATTTTACTATTTTTTAGTTATAAATATAAACATTGCTATTTTGTTGGTTTTTGGTAGCTCATTTTATTTAAGTCAACAAATGTTGATGTATTCAAACAACTACGTCTAATGGGTTTTTCTCTTTTTATCTGTTATTTGTATTTCGGTTCTCTTTTCTACAACATAATTGGTAATTTGTTTCTTTAAAAAATACAATATAATTTGTTTCTTTAAAAATACAATATAATTTGTAAACACACTCTAAATCTACGATTTGGTATAGCTTATCAATATATTGTGAATACCAACTAAGGGGCCGTATATCAAACACTTACCCGGTAAGTGATTACCGGCAAAAATTAACACTATCATTTACTTACCGGGTAAGATTTTAGTCCATCAAAACAACATTGTATGCAACAATTTACCCGGTAAACACTTACCGTGGTAAGAGTCGTTTCCCTCACTTACCGGGTAAGACTATTGGTCTTTGTCTTGCTCTTACCGGATAAGATTCTTGATTCTTACCATATTCATCCGATAATGTAATGTGATTTGGTAAGCGCTTACTCGGGTAAGCATTTGGTAAACGGCCCATAAATCAACAAAACTAAATCAAAATCTACCACTTGTCAACACCTTAATACGAAATTTCTTAAGGTTGTCTTCATTGTATTCACGTTTTATACATATTTAATTGTGAATGTGTGTACACGTATATTACAAGAGAGAGGATATATATATATATATATATATATATTAGTTGACATTATGATTCAACTTCTACGAGTGTGATTGTCATGTGATGGTAAAATTGGTAAACCAAAATATTTACATCTCTAGGTTAAAACAATAAAAGACTCACGGGAGTGAAAATCTCGCATGATTCGCTTCCTTATTGAAATCCAAGAACCTCCGATGACCAGGTTAATGTTATCCCCCACCCCCATTTATTCTGGCGATATACGTAACAGATATTGTCGGTTCGTCTGCTGTAATGGGTTTGAATGAGGTTGTGATGAACTCCGATCTGTATCTCCGGCGCCGGACAAAAATAAGTGGATCATTTTGCATCATTATCTATTGATGAAGGTAAGTTTTGATGTATTTATTTACCAAACCAAGAATTCGTCATTGTTACCGTGGTCGACCTCCCTAACCTGCTTCATGAAAGGCAGTTAGCCTCCTTAACCTGCTTCTTAAACGGCGATCGGATTCCTTAACCTGTTTCATGAACGACAATCGACCTCTTTAACCTGCTTCATGCAAGGCGGTCAGCCTTCGTAACTTGTTTCATGAATGGCGATCGGCCTCCTTAACCTGCTTCATGAACGGCGGTCGACCTCCTTAATCTGCTCCACGAACGGTGAAATTAGTCACCGGATAATTTCTGAAAATTGCTCGAGTCTTTGGAGGAGTCTAAATTGGCACCAAATATTCTTGATGCAAATTAAGCGAAATTATTAGATGTTAATTATTTTATGTTTTACCGGGTGAAACTGCATTCAACATTCTAGGATCATTCAACAATTTGGTTGTGTTTGATGATGTTTTCTTTATGTTGTATTCATGTATGGTGGAAGAATTTATAAATGGAAATAACATCAACCAAATCTTGATAATAATCCCTGCATAATCGCAATACATGATTTAGGGGACGTGTACCTAATCACTTACCCGGTAAGCGCTTACCGGTGAAATTCAACACTATCGCTTATTTACCGAGTAAGATTTTGTAGTCCACGAAAACAATATCGTATGCAACAATTTACCCGGTAAGCACTAACCGTGGTAAGAGCTGTCACTCTCACTTATCGAGTAAGACTTTCGGTCCTTGTTTCGCTCTTATGGGGTAAGATTCTTGGTCCTTACCATATTCATCCGGTAAGTTCACGTAACTTGATAAGTACTTACCCGAGTAAGCATTCGGTAAACAACCCCTTAGAAAATATAATCAAATAAAAATAATAAAAAGTTTTAAAATTCATAACCACCCTTCTCGTTTTAAATTTGTAAAAAGAAGGAAAAAGACGAAATAATGTGATTGGTGGAGAGGAGTTTAAAGGGTTTGTTAGAATTGTTGGGTTCACAATTGAAACCACCCATAAACATACATACATATATGCATGGAATGATAAGAATCATTCATTATAATCATGAATTTATATTAGGAAACAAAATAAAATCAGATACTTATTAAACTAGATAAATGATTAATATTGGTTTGTATAATTTGTTAGAATAAGATCGTTTGTAAATTAAACATCCCCTATAGATATACACACATATATATATAGAGAGAGAGAGAGAGAGAAAGAAAGGGGTAATCTTTTGCAAACCCCTCAAAGTTACAAACAATGCAAACAAATCCTAGCCCTCGATTCACTTTTTTCTTCTTTTAGTATAAAGGGTAGTTACATCTTTTGAAATTTAATATCATTTTGAATTTTGTATTCCTTTAACAAGGATGCCGGTTGTTTAATAACATTAACTTCTTTTTTTCAATTTAAGTAATAATTGACTTGTGATTGTAATTGGTTATGATATTTTGTTATCTG